GAAGGCCTGGTAAGGACTCTTACATCGGAACTGTGGAGGTTTTCATGCCCGTGCCTAGACCCGTCACAAGTCTTCCGATGACAAGGTGTGGAACCGTGAACGCTGATGCTTGCAGCGTAGCGCCAATGATGACCAGCGCCATGGCGGTCCAAATTGTTTTTCGACGTCCCAGTGTCTCTCCGAAAATGAAGTTCACTGTCGCTCGATGGGTCAGCGTAGGTCTTCAACCTCAAGTGTTCGTTGGAACCCACAAACACAGCCAGCCAAGCAGCCTAGGTTGTAGCAGGATACGATGATGCCAGTTTCTGAATCGGATGGGTGGTCGAACTGGTCAAGCCAGTCTTCCATCTGAAGAATTCCTCCGAAGACGCCTTGGTCGTAACCAAAAAGCACAAAAGCGATTAACTATGAGGGGATAAGTCAGATTGATGCAATCTTTGGGCGGGAGGAGTGCTCTGCTGTTGAGATTACTGACGCAGCAAATCGTCACACCTGTCTGGAGGCCTTTGCCTCTGCCAAGGCTGAAAAGCGCCATTATCGTGTGGTTGGGTAAAACAGCTCTTGGTTGTTGACTTTTGAATGATTGTATTTATCCTGCAGTGCAGTAACTGAATCTGAAATGTTGTCGCGTGTGTTATCCCTAATCGCTTCAAATGGGTTTACCCCATTGGATTCCCCAGACTCGTGATGGCGGCCAACAGGAGTACAGTCCGGGGTAAAACTGGACCCCAAGAAGTTTGATTCGGGGATGGGTGCGGGGAAGATCTACTCTCCAGAAATGGTAATATTTAGCTCGTTCGTAAAACCCGGAGAATACCCTGTGGGCGGCCGTTGAAGGTTCACGACTCAGCTGGAAGAAAGCACATAAACTCAAGCTTGTGCGCTTGCAGTTGTCCCAAACTAAATCCCGGCGCCCTTTTATACTCTCGACCCGGAACCGAGGCCATCGGCGGCGGGCGGACGAGCGGGAGGCGGTCTGCTTCCCCACGGTCGCAGAACGTGGTACCGCACCAAGATGTGGTGCCAAAATAAGTGATCTGCACGGCATCTCCTCTACGCGATGTGGAGTATCTCATGGCTAGATGCGCTTGGAACGTCCTGTTCTGGCCTGTCACAGCGTTGAGAGCTTTGCTGGAGCAAACATTTGCCGGGGAAGCAACCATGCATGCGGTCATTCGTACAGCTCTTGGGCACGATGACGTCCTCGCATTGGATGGGGTTGGTCTGCAAAAGCAAGCATAACTCGTGGCCGCCCCACTACCCAGGCCGCTTCGTGAACGGGGTTTGCGCCGATGTTCGTGGCCATTGGGTTGGTGTTGGAATTTGCTGGCTATGCGCGCCAATCAGGAGGGTGTTCGTCCCACCAGCCACCGTGATATTTCTCTTCCGTCGAGTCAAGCCTAAAATTCCCGGTTGGTCTCGCGTGAATAAACCACTGCGAAATCGTAGAACGACTTCATGTTTCAGCATTCATGCAGCCGTGCGAATCCAGGAAAAGAGTGGATTTGATGGGCTTGTGGTCTCGTGGGCTGGGCAAAGAACCCGAGACTACGGGACCACTGAGACTCAGCATGGCATCCGACTCCAATCAGAAAGTTATCCGATCGAATCATAAGAAAAGCCCATATGATTTGATGCCTGCGCATATGCTGGGGCGCATAGCACAGCGGGCAAGACCAGAACGACAAGCCTGGATATGCACATCCGCTGCTGACAGCTGCGTGGTTTGAGATTTCCGAAGCTTGCTTTTCGTTAATGTTACACTATTCTCGGCCAGAATGTGAGATGCTGAAACTTGTAAACACTCAAAGGGATACGACACCTCATCGGATATTCGCCGATATGCCGGCTCCGGTTTCGGGCTGTCCATTGACGAGCCCCCACTTCACGGTCCGTTCCGGTGTTCCTCTCGGCGCCGAGCCACCCGCGCTGTGAATGCAGAGAAAGGATACCTACGCGGGACCACCCCCCCTGACAACATCGGCCCTTCAGCGTGTTCTGCTAGTGGCCTTAAGGGCTATAGGCACCTAACGGGCCACTATGCCGGCTCTTCACGTTGTGTGTATTAAATTAGGAAGCTACACTCTTCGTTCCTCCCTCGATTTCCTCTGTTCATCGCTGCCCCATAATAAACACGTACGAACACTATGAAAGCTTGAACATCGGAGATTTAGGCCAAGTGACTACGTGAAAACGAGCAATAGAGGGTAAGAAAGGGCAGATTCATCACGACGCAAATTAGCCATTAAAGCGTAACGCTGGCAGCAGGGTGGCCTATAGGGTTACTATGATAAATCGGGTTATAGCGTTCGGCCGATGTTCTAGAGTGGTGCCCTTCCGCATAGGTAATGTGGAAATACTCCTGATTGGTGGGAGGCTTAGGATACTTACACGGACAACTTATTATCACTTTTGCCCATGTCTTTCATGCGAGTCCAGGCCGACACTGAGCGTAGGCCGAGTAGATGTGCAATGAGACCATGAGAATGGCGCGCGAGAAATTGCAAATTGAGCTGTCGTTGGCATTGATAAGCAAACTTGGCTTCAGTTAAGGGCTTAGCTAGCCGAGCGGTGTTAGTTAGCTATTCGGGCAGTGTACTCGTAAATGCCTAAAACTTTAATGAGAACAAGAATAGTAGGGAAAACGACAGGGATAGCGAAAACAATAACGACGATGAATGACGACTATGACAGTGATAAAGACGGTTATAGCGACGAGGGCAGCGATAACAGCGATAAAAATACGTATTGGAAACATAGCCGCTTCACTAGGTATAGATGTAGGATATACGGACTACATACTGCTTGTGATGTGGACACTGCCCAGCTAGCAAAACCCTACCTCAAAACCTGACGGGAATGGGTGTCGGCACGAAACACGCCCACTCACAAGAGCTCCGTACATGGCTTCTACTCCTAACTTGCGATCCCATCAACCCATCGAGTTCCCCACGATGAACTAGTGTTATGCTTCTCACCGCACTGTCCGCTCTTTTGAGCCAAGAACTCATCCACTTTGGAGCCAAGCAGCTGGGAAACAGCGTATGTGATGTGCCCCGAGTTGTACCAGAAGTATTCACCAATTGGCTGACAGCCGTACGAAGCGTAGTTAGTCGCAATATCCCACGCATTGTACTTGGGACAGAACGACGTGGTGTTGGTGATGCCGAAAGTGGCCGCATTATCGAACACATGGGTGAGCCAGGTGTATGTGTCGAACACCAACGCAGTCGCCCCGGGGTGTGTTTCTGTGAAGGCTTTGGCTGTTTGGTTGAGAACATCGTTAAAAGTTTTTATCATCGTCGTGTTTGGCTTCCGAGTAGGATCGCTTTGTGCAGCAGGCTGTCTATAGTTAGAAGGGGGCTTGGAAGATCTGACGAAAGGCCATACCGTCTTGTCCAGAGGAGGTAAGTTGAGGAAGAGGTAGCTGCGATATCCAGCTTCATATACGGTTTCAAGGGCTTCAAACTGCTCTGCGATGACCGCAGTGTACAGCTCTTCAAAGTCTGTCAAGTTTTGAACAGGAAATTGGAAGTTCGCCATGTCGTTGATGTCATTGATTCCAATAAAAGAAGCCACGAGGGAGTTTTTGGTGTCTGCGTCGATGACCGATTTGCCATCCTCGTTCCACTGGGATACTTGGTTTTGGAACGATAATGTGTAGTCATGGTGGAGTGGAACACTTGGTGGAAATTAGCCGTCTAAGAAGATTATCTGAATCACCAGATGCTCAGCTCACAAAGTAGTGGATACATCAGCGCCAGCGAATGCAAAGTTCCATAACTGAATCTCGCAGTCTCGTGGCAAGCCTTCCTTGCAACCAGTAAGTTCTTCGATCCAATTGGGACCACCAGCTGATGAGGTATTTTGCCCTGGAACAATGCGGTCCGTCAAGAGCTGTTCGGGAGTGAACGATATGTTGAGCCGAGAGCCGATGAAACTGTATCCCCAGTACCCTTGTGTTCCTTGCACAAATGTGTAAGAATCGCCGAATGCAAGCCTAGGTGTGTGTCTTGTCAGTGCGGGCTCAAGTAGTGCGACCGCGACTTACACGTAGTCAGTCTTTTGCCAGTCAAAAGACGCCTCTACCGCTAAAGGAGATGCAAACACTGCTGTGGAGGCAAGCCCAATCAGGACTGCCAAAGAGACGGACATCATGAGGACATCAACACAGCACAGGAGATCACGGTTAGTGAGGAAACATCTTGGTGCCCCTTGTGAGGTACTCTCTGGTAATTATAGGATTTTTCTTTCGCAATTTTCTTTCACAATCCTAGTATTCGCCCGCCGCTTCCCCGCCCCCGGAGAATCAAAGTCTGTGGGGTGAGATCAATTGCGAGATGCAGAACCGGATGAGCGGGTTCGAATTCATGAACTAGCACGTGGCGCACGCGGAAATATTTGCGTCCACCACTCAGCGCTGTGTCGGGCCTGGCCGTTGAGGGGGAACCCCGGTAGTCAACGACCAGGGACGCTAAAATATGTCGCAAAAGCTATCGTGTCAAAAGCCCAGTTGACTTCATGAAAGCCTCACACGTTACTTTTGCTGTTGGGTTCACATTTGAATAGTGATGGACCTGCCTTTAGGAAAGAACTGAGTCAGACCATCAGCCGAGGGCCAACGACTTTCTTGTCATTCATTCGTAATAGTTCGCCGCTCATGTATGTATACTCGAATTGTAAACTGATTTCATAAGGAGACTGAAATCAAACCGCATTTATATCTATGGACGATCTGATGTATCAATATCGTGACCTGGTCTGAAAGAACATGACGAGAAACGGATGAACTGCCGCCGCCGGACTCTCTCGGTGCCGAGACGGATCTAGACCCACATATTGTGCGGACCCGATCAGGATGCATAACTTTGTGCACAGGCGCCGATAAGGGAGGCATTTCTCACCGCCTAAAAGTTCGCGGCAGAAAACGTCCCAAGCGCATCGCATCGCTGCATCAATCTTCCCGCCCATCCAACCATCATCCGACCAAACAACAAAACATGGGTGTCGCCAAAAAGACGAGAAAATTCGGCCAGGTAGGAACTCTCCAAGCGACTCGAGTTGTATCGTGTCTGACGTTCTCCAGGCCAAGCGCCTAATTGGCCGCCGCCACGCTCTTGCTGCCAAACCGACCGAAACAGAATCGAAGTCGACGACCAAGAAGAACGATGCCGATCTCGTCCGACACATCCCCCAGGCCCCCTCGGGACTCTACTTTCAATCGAACCAAGACCTGGGACCCCCCATACCACATCATTCTCGACACCAACTTTTTCGCGCACACGGTCCGCCACAAGATCGACGTCGTCATGGGCCTGATGGACCTCCTCCTCGCCAAGTGCACACCCGTCGTAACGGAATGCACGATCGCCGAGCTTGAGAAGCTGGGACCGAAGTTCCGCCTGGCGCTACGCCTCGCGAAGGACGAGCGGTTCGAGCGATTGAGGTGCTCGCATTCTGGCACGTACGCCGACGACTGCATTGTCACCACCGTCACGAAGAACCGCTGCTACCTGGTCGGAACGAACGATAGGGCGCTGAGACAAAAGCTGAGGAAGGTTCCAGGTGTGCCTTTGATTGCGGTTGGAAAGGGAAAATACTCTGTCGAGAGGCTGCCTGAAATTGCTGTCTGAGGCTGGCGGACACTGAAGCGAAATATCGGCCTTATGGCCACGAAAAGCACCGGAACGTGGATTTGTGACGGGACCACAACTACTACGCGGAGTATGGATGGCGGTCATTGTTTTGCGGAAACTTGTCAAATCACTACGGTCTACCCGAGGAACGATTATAAAGCCCATGACTAGACTCATTAGAATCAGGGAGGATTGCTAGTCCCGGCACCCGGAACTCCCACGACTGCTGGAGGAGAGGTCATACAACGCCCACACTGGTTGGCGAACAGCAAGCCAAGAAGTTGATAGGATTGGTGATAGGAAGCGGACATGCAGTTCGCATGGACATAAATAAAGAAGCAATCCATTGCCAAAGGCCCGTGATCTTGCGCGATAGGACCTAAGATGCTGCCATGAAAGATCCTCATAGACCTTCGCCAATAGTCCACATTATTTAACGACCTTGCCTGATGGTAGTCTCTCTCGTCACCATTATCTGGTTCCTAAAGTCTCCCCGCAGTTCCTGGCCCACATGCCCTGTCTTCGGCTCCGCCGTCACATGAGAGTAGACCGCAGGCACAGCCCTCGACTGGCTGGCTATCATATCCTTGAGCACAAGCTCCTCGGTGCTGACCTCCCTTTGAGTATTGTTGCTCTTTAGCTCCTTGAAGTTGCTGCGGCCAATCCCTGATGAGCTCCCGTATCGCGGGTAGGCGCTAGTCCCGCTCTTGTGAGCAGACGACAGGCCTGCTCCTGGAAGCCACTTCGCGAGCAACGGCCGGAGAGTCGGCAGGGAGGCGGCAATGATGGAGGTATTTAGTTCGATGGCGGACCAGATCGCGGCGCCGATGTTCTCCCAGGGAGGGTCCTCGCTGTAGACGGCGGTGCGGAGGGTGAACATTCTGTAGACGGAGATGATGCACACACTACCCACCAACATTAGTTGCACATTACTAGAAGAGAAGTTGGTTGGCAGCTATAGTGGAAGCCTGGCACTTACAAGAAGCCGAGAGAGAAGACTCCAAACAACATGGCCTTCTGCTTCGTAGGGAGCCGTAGCTTAAGAACGGACGGCAAGGGGATGCAAAAGATCATAATATCCGTTGCCATACTCATGGCTGAAGAGAAATACCAAATAGGGAGCGTGTTGAGACAGAAGCTCGCGGTGCTGGGAACGATGATAGAGATGGGCAGGCATGATGTGCCGAGTAAGGTTGCCTGAGCGCATGCCCACAGGACAACAAACACCATTGCCCAAAGGCAGATTCTCTGAACCCCCTTTGAAGGAAACACGCGTCGGTATTGGAAGAGAAAAGAAACCTTGACGACGTTCATCCCCATATTGTAATGGAGGACAGCAACAAGCAGGAACTGATCGGTGGTAAGTCACTGGGGACCGGTCAGGAGTTTGTGCACAAGAGCTTATCTTACCTTGAGCTGTTGGAGCGTTTCTTCCAGAGACACATTCTCAACATGCCTTCCCATGCCATATTTGACCTCTGCAGTGGCCTGTCAGCGTTGCCGCGGAGGGGTCAAAGTGAGAAACCTACCAAGACAGGTTGCAACTGTCACAACGATTGCGAATAACTATCCAAAGGGTCAGCGTCGTGTACTTGAAGAGAATACACACTCGATTTGCTCTCACTTCTGCAATCACGATACTCAAGTCATCTTTCCCAGCAGTTCTCAGAAGCACTAGTCGTGTATAGAGTCTGAGGGAGAGAATGGCCGCTGAAGCAGCGACGAAGCCAATCGCAATACCGCTCACAATATGTCCGTTTGATTCAGTGCGAATCACAGCGGGCGTGGCGGCCATGGCGTCTAGAGATGACGCCAGGCGGAGACTTGAAAACGATAAAGGGGAAGATCAAAAGATCCACAGATCCAGTCTTGATCTTCAAGGACCCAGGTCAGTGCCAACGTCTTAGCCTTATACTGAAGATCTCGACGATCAGAAAGGCGAACCCTTTACATAACCTTGGGGGCCATCTCGCGACCGTGAATCACCTCCTGCGTCTCCTGCAGAGGGGCAATGTTCTATGTGTTTGGGCAACACTCGGAGGAGACTTCTACTCTGATCCAGAGAATGGCGAAGTGTGTCTCTGCATGCAGGGGTGATGTAGCCGAGACGGCAGGAACGGAAGCACCTGCATCTCTATGGCGAGGGTTCGTCTCATTTGAGTCTGGGTTTAGTGTGACTGCCCGTTCCTGGCTGCAGTCACAATACAGTGGAAAACAAGATTTCTGCTCAGGAGCCTCAACCCTGCCGTGCCTCTCATGTCCCGAACTTCCCGAATCTTCAACGGTTCTTCAGGGAAAGTGGCTTGGTTTAATTAAAGATACGATTGCATCCTGCATCGCCGCAGCTCTCATGTCTGACACCAAGATCGACTTCCACGTCTACTTTTTATGCGGCCTTCGAACGGGCCCCTTACCGAATCTTCTTCTACGTCGTCAAGGACACAGGTTGTAAACTCATGTGGCGATGCCATCAAGCCCCCCTTTACTTCTAATTCCTTCGTTATCATACAAAGCTCGGCCGATTCAATTTCTTCTTTCGGCCGTTCCGTCCATCCATCCAAGGTTGCATTTACGTTATTTCAATCAATACGACAGCGCACGGACGATGTTCATTATGACAGTCTGCGTCTGTACGGTGCGTTTGCTCGGGCCCCTTTCTGCGTAGAGCTTCGAGGGGTTGAAGTATGGGATAGTCTAGATGCGACCTGGTGGGTTCCAACGAGACGCACCTTGCTAACTCCCCTTTGCCCTGAAAGACCATTGGATCCCGGCGATAGATGCATGGTTCCTGCCACTCCCAGATTGCCTACTTGCCTGTCTTTGATGGCTGAGGAAAGAAGAATCTGATCATAAAAACAACCCAGGCGCACCTCGATCCTGGCTAAACCGGCAACCTGCTTCAACGGACCCTGTTCCGCGAGATGTGCCTCACACATGCAGTAGCGTGTTGTCGGTAGAAGTCAGGATTTAGCCTAGCAGTGTCTGCTGCGACTGAGACCGGGCCAAGTGTCTTGAAGTGGACGAAAGAGGGAACAACCCTGGCGGGATTACATACTCGCTGTCGCTAATGATACTGCGCTGCAGATAAACTTGTTGGAACGAAATTCTCCAAATCCTGGGTCATCTTTCGATTCGATGAAGAAATGCATTTTATGGGGTCTGCCGGGGTCGAGCGGGGGAATTGGGCCCGGGGTAAAATGCAGAGTAAGGGTCTTGGGCCAATGGAAGATCAGAGGGGAGTGAATACGCGTTCCAACAACTTCCCACGGTGCAACGCCACAGCTCGATCATACCAGAGATCTTATGGTGTGTTTCCTTTGGAAGAAGAGAAAGATAGTGGAGTTTCATAGTGCAGAATCCTTCGCAAGCCACCTACTTTTTCAACACGCACAACTCCGATCACCAGAGCATTCGTTGCGACACTGACGGAGACTCTTCGTGAAGTCTGGTATCCCCAAATTGACCCTTCTTTTTCGCCCCATACAGACAGGGCTTAGTCTTATTCTTAATCCAACTGTCTCCTCTCAGCGGGACCCGCCTCCGAAGGCCACCGTTGGCGCTAACCCCAGAGATGCCCTCCGCCGCCCCTCTTCGCAACTCGCTGACAGGGGTCACCCTGGAATACGAAGCATCGCCCTCCAGCCGAAGGGGACGTTTGACGTGGTGGGGTTGCCCTCGATGTTGGTGAGCGTTACCCTGTCCGCACTGACCTGGAGATCGGGGACGTGTTCGTCTGTTGGTGTCAGTCCCGCCTCTGCTCCGCCTCGGGCAACATTGACGGGTCTGCTGGAATATGGGAGAACGGAATGCGGGTAGATCCATGGGGCCTGACAATTGACAGCCGCATTTCGCGCACTGATGCAAGTAGCTCTCTTCCTCACGCACCATCCTTTTTGAGGAGAAGTCTTGCTGGACTTTCTATCCGGAAGAATCTTGCCGGTCGTTACCATCTCTTCGATGGATGTGTCGGCACATGCAGTAAGCGATAGCAACACCCAACAGAGCGTGCGCCTCCTTTGACACTATTTGTGTTGATAGGGACTTCCTTACTTAACTAACCATAATGGTGATTGGTGAAATGATGTTAGCAGTCTCGAAGAAGTCAGGCCATTAAAACTTGCGGTCCCCGTACATGTCCGCAGTCTTTGTGGCATGACAGCACAGGAAGATATCTCCGATGTAATGTCGCTTAACCTTGTCTATTCGTAGGCCTCAACGCCAAGTACTGTCTCTGTCTACCAGGGGAGGATTAGCGCCGCACATAAACCAGGTGCTTTTGCTTGCAGCATATGTCAGCTATTGGGTCTGGAGCAATAACCAAGGTCGCGTCCCTGACAGCATGATTTTCTCCAAAGTCTCCGCATGGAACTGCGGTCGAAGTCGTACCTGGTGAGCAATGAGCTTAGAATACCCATACTATTGACATCTACTAGGTATTCTCTGCCCAATAGGGACGCCCGGATGGTTCCCGGGGTAAACGTCTTGAAAGCCCCCAATCCGACATAGGAGCGCATGAATAAAGCATTCGTAATGGGAAAAACGACTTCGATTGCAGAATCTCCTCCCATAAGCGGTTTAGTCGACCGAGATACCCAGCCCGATGGCTCTTCACCACGTGAAGTGTGAGCCATCGTCGGCATCTACAAAAACAACCCGCCCACCCATCCAGTAAGCAGACCATCCAGACCACCCAGCCACAATCCTGCGTCAACCTCCATCATCAACGGCCGTCACTCTTTCTACTTTGCCCAAGATGATGTTTTCCAAGGCTTGGCCAGCAGCTGTCCTGCTGTTTGGTGTCGCTTCGGCCCAGGACAAGACTTACGACTATGTACGTCCATCTACCGACCTCTCTTGCCTCAATGATGCAGCTGACACTCCATACAGGTCATTGTGGGAGGAGGTACGGCTGGATCAGCTCTGGCAACACGCCTGAGTCTAGGCCTGCCGGATGCCCAGATCTTGCTTCTTGAAGCCGGCCCATCTGCCCTCGATGA